AATTACTATAGGGGCCGTTGAAAAGCAAGAACAACAATTTGTGCTAGTGAAAACAATGATCGGCCTATTAGTGTCAGTTTTGTGATATGAGACGAAGATGGTGCCAAAAATATGTGGATTAGAGTCATCTGACCTACATGACTGCCAGTTGCAATAACAGTCTTTTGAATTCTGTATATATTCAATGACAAACAGGCCACGCTTTTACAGCACTATCAAAAATCAAAATCTTATCGAATAGATTAACGTACCTACCTGGTTTCCACTTCACCTTGGACATGTTTGTTACTAAAATTTCGATTGTATTCGTAAGTGCAAAGAAAAATAGTTTAGAGGTGAAAGTTTAAAAAGAGACCTCTTTTCCAATGGTTAACTTAAAAAATAAGTTTAGCATTTGCCGAAATTTCCTCAAAACCGGGGAAAATCTGAATTAAGACCGAGGGTGAATTTTAGTTACGGGCTAAAAGCTAATCTCATATAGTGTCCTGGGTTACCATTGAAGACCAGATTAGCTAAACCAGCAATAATTACTTCCGAATTGATGGTTCCACACATCGCTGTGACAACCCCATTTTGACGCTTCTTCCAGAATCGTTCGAGGGTCAATAAGAACTCGTAAAAAGGCAATGCATAACATTTCTCCTCCGTAGCACTCACTTCTTTCTCGTTACCTTCCTAAAAGTTACCCACATTCTGCAGGAGAATGAAATTAAGTTTCAAGGGCCAACAGCGTCAATATGGGAAACGCCGTATTTACGGTTGTGTAGCTTATAATAATCAGCTATCACGATCATAACAACAAAACACTTGAAACAGAAATAGCTATTTGTAGTACCCTTATGATTTGTGTTTTCAGTATTATATACTCAGTGACATGAAAATTGCAACACCAAGAAGGAGTTGGAATTTTTTGACCAAACTTGGCAGAAACGTTTAGCTACTAAAAGGTAACAATTGATTAAAATTTAAAAGAAAAAGGATGAAATATAAACATATTTTTATTAATAATAATAGTAGTCCCTCCCTATTGGTTACGCACTCCCTCACGCTTCGTAGCATCGATTTTAGCAGACGGCCGATTTCCTCTTGAGGTATTGTGTCCCAAGCAACTGTGAGTAACCTCTAATTCATTGTGTAGAGCTTGCAGCGTCTGCGGAGGATGTAGTAAGTTCATCAGTCTTCTCTTCATAATGTCCCAAACTTGCTCGATAGGCGATATACTGGGAGATCTGGGTGGCTATGGTAAGAAATTGACATTATCATGTGCAAATAAGTCCATAGAACGTCTTTCAATGTAGGGAGGGGCATTATCCTGCTGGAAAAGTGGGTCTTCCAACTGATGAAGAGATGGAAGAATATCGGGTTCTATCACGGCATCCACATATCGCTGGGGGGGTCATATTACCTCGAATGAATAACAAACGAGCCCTACTCCCATAAGTTATAGTACTCCATACCATAGTCCCCACAGCTTAGTGCACATGCCTCATAACAGAAAATTCAACATTAGTCATTAGTCATTATATTTTTCCTTTGGCATACATATGTACAATGTACATAGGAGGCGTCAACGAGAAAAAAATAAAATACACACATAAAAATATAAAAAGAAAATCACATATCACACAGCCACAGGTATATCACAGTAGTTAAAGCATTTATTTCTACATCCATCCACATATTCGTCAATGGTGTAGAAGCAGTTGCGTATTAAAAATTTTCTTGTTTCCCTACGAAATATACCCAGGGACTTGCAGGCCTTGAGTTTTTCCGGGAGCAGGTTGTACATGTGGGTTCCGGCAAACATGGGGGACCGTTTGTAGAAGGCGTAATTCGGTTTAGGCTCGTAGAAACTGTCTTTCCCTCGGGTGTCGTGTCCGTGAATCTGGGTGTGTGTCCTGTGCATCCGTTTGTGAGCATGGAAGTTAGTCAGTAGTTTGTATAGGTAGATGGAGGTGACTGTTAATATGCCCTGTTTTTTGAAGGTCTCTCTACATGAATGAATGTTTCGCAGATTAAACATTAGTCGTATGATACATTTTTGCGCCAAGAACAAGCGATTTAATTCTGTGGATTGGCCCCAGGCTATGATATTGTAATTTAGTGCCGAATGAACCAACGCGTAGTAAACACTCAACAGGGAGTTATTATTTAAATAATTCTTTAACGTCATTATTGCAAAGAATGATTTATTTAATTTTTTAACGACTTCATCGATTTGGCTAGTCCATCTTAGGTTAGTGTCCATTACTATACCAAGATATTTAACCGTGGCCGTTGTTGATATTGTATTTGAGATTGATCTTGAGCGATTGCGGAAATCTATTATAGATGTTTTATTTATATTTACTATTAATTTATTTTTATGGCACCATTTATTAAAGTCTTCTATCACTTGTTGGACGAGATCGCACGCACGTTTTGGACATGGGTGTTGCACGATTATCGTGGTATCATCTGCATACATGAATACTGTACCGTAACGAATGTGGTGTGGTAAGTCGTTCACGTACAGAAGGTATATTAGGGGTCCCAACACGCCTCCTTGAGGGGTCCCTCTGTTCATTGTAAATATTTCAGAGTGTTGGTCGCCACATTTTAAAATGTAACTCCGGTTTTTGAGATACGATAATATGTATTCTGCGGCGTGACCTCGGATCCCCATCTTCTCGATTTTTTTCCTTAGAAAGGAGATGTCAATTGTGTCGAAGGCGCGCGAAAGATCAAAGAATACTCCAAAAACAGTCTTGCCGTCATTGAGGTGGCCCATGATGCAATCAATCATGCTCGTAGCTGCTGTTTCTGCCGAACGGTTTTGCCTGAAGCCGTGTTGGGATGTTGTTATTATATTGTACTTGTTTAGGTATGAAGATAGCTGCCTTGCCAGTAGTTTTTCAAATATTTTTGAAAATATGGTCAGTAGCGCTATCGGTCTATAGTTTTTGATATCCGTTGTGTCACCTTTTTTAGGAACCGGAATAATGATCGCAACCTTCAGGATTTCTGGGAAGGTGCCAGTCTGTAGTGAGTTATTAAAGGATTCTGCTAGGTCTTGTGCAAGGATGCTGTTGCATCGCTTGACAAATCTTGCGGATACATCGTCGTGGCCGGTCGCTTTGTTGATTTGTAAACCTTTTATGAGGCAGCTGACCTCTGTTGCTGTGAAGGGTGTGAAGTACATGCTGTTTGGTACCTCGCTCGATGTTGTGCAAGCTTGGGATACGTTTCGACCAAAGTGATTTCTTAGTGTGGTTGGAATGATGTTTTCAAAAAATTTTGCGAACGTTCGACATAGTTGGTTGTTCTGAGTAATGGGCTGCCCTTCGTAGATTATTGGTCCAATCTTGGTCATGGTTCGAGTTCTATTTACTACTGAATTTACGAGCGACCACAATGTTTTTGGTTTATTGGTTGATCGTTCTACCTTCGTGGAAAAGTGGAGTACCTTCGTGTTTCTAATTTCAATTTTCAGTTTTTTCCTTTCAACTTTGTATAGATGTTCAAGTGTGCTGCCTTCGGTGTTTTTCCTAAGATGATTGAGCAATTTGACCCGACGCAGCTGCTCTTTTAGTCTAGGTCCAAAGTTTACTGTATCGGTACGCGGGTTCGCACAGTTTCCTCTTATCGCTGTGGTTTTGGGGAACGCGGCATTAAAACACCAGATGAAGTGTTCCCAGAATTTATTGAAAGATAGAGCTGTTGTATTGGGGATGTGAGTAAGATTTGCATCCTTATTTAGCGCGTAAAGTTTTAAAAATTCAGAGAAACCAACGTCATTAAATTTCCTCTTGAGTAACGTTTCGTGGTTTTTCTTTTCAGCGTTATCGTGAGGAATGTGCGCCTCGCATAGTATCGCCATGTGATCAGAATAACCGAGGTCGTCGATTTTAAAGGTTACTTTATGGTGTGGTAGGTTTGTAATGAGGTAGTCTATGCAGGTGGTTGTGATTTTTCCTCGTCTCGATGCGATACGAGTGGGAACATTCGTATTGTGGATTAGTAGATTATGTGATTCAAACGACTTCGGCGATTGCGACGTCTTCGGCTGCCCTTCATACGGCCATCATGCATACCCAAACAAAATCGGGATTCATCACTGAACACCACCCAATGCTACTCTAGGTTCCAGTGCAGTCGCAACCTACACCACTCCAAACGCTGCTGGCGGTGTTGAGCTGTTAATGGTAACAAAAGATGTGGCCGATAGGATTGCAAGTCGTAAGCTCTGATTCTGCGACCTTCTTTAGCTAACAATTGATCGGCAATTGACCTGGTACTAGAGAATCGGTTTCTTATTGCCATAAGTCAAAGATGGCGATCCTGCACTTCAATTGTTCTTTTTCGCCCCCCACCCTTTCCTGCCCCCTCCCTTTCCTCTCTACGACGATCCTGCCCCTTCCCAAATCCATGCCCGATTGCAACGAATCATGGTGGATTGACTTCGGTTAAGGTGACTTGCAATTTTTGTGAACGAAAAACCACCTCCGCCCAAACCAACAATACGACACCTGTCAACTTCTCTTAATTCGCGGTAATTTCCACTTTGACGTATCTAGGCATGATCACAGCCTCAAAAGAAACGATTAAAAGCGAAAACAATAAGAACTGAACAAAATCTCGCAAAACGTACACGATATAAGAATACTAGAAAAAAATGAAAGAACTGTCAAATAAGCCATTACCACTTGATCCATATGAATGAAATTTTAATCAATTGTTAACTTTTAGTAGTTAAACGTTTCTGCCAAGTTTGGTCAAAAAATTCCAACTCCTTCTTGGTGTTGCAATTTCCATGTCACTGAGTATATTCGCACTATTCAGTTTAAAATTCCTTCTCTGAAGAGTGCCCAAAAACAGTGCCTATGTATGAAATTTTGTGCTAAATTGCAAAGGTAAAGGGTGGACAATGTTCTCACAGCTGTCTTTACAAATAAAACACTACTCTTATTTTTCGGGACTTTCTGGAGCCGACAATTTCCGGAGGCCACTATCAGAACAACACTCTATAGAATTTAAATATGCAATACAAAGATATGATTCTACACAGATCTAAAAGGAACAAGGATAGTTTGGTAGCCCTCCGAAACCGATCAGTTCTTCAGATAAGAACGTTGCGACGCTATCAAATTTCGTTCGATAACCACTGATAATCGGATGAACGGTAGGCGAATGGAAGGGTAATCTGTTTGCGCACTGATGAGAATTGGTACCTATATAAGCTCCCGTGAGGAGTTTGCAAATAACACCCGAAACTAATCATGGCTTCAAAGGTTGTGCTAACGTTACTCGTCGTAGTATCTTATGGAGCTTCAGGTAGGTACATTATACTATGATTGTCAGCTTTTGTCAAAATGATGATCTAGTTTCTGCGCTGGAATGCATGAAGTGTTCGAGCAATGATGATAGCGCATGCCAATCGGCTCAATCGACAACCTCTTGGACATGTCCTGACAAATCCGAGTTTAATTTGACTGCGTGGTGTTATTCCGCCGAGGTAATGTTGGAAATAGGTGGTAAGTAGGCTGATACGGTAATTACCCTGTAATTTCAAACAAACCTTACAAAACAGGCCAACACGAATACAAAAGAAATTGCGCATGGACAAGCGGTAGGAATATCTGCTCCATGTTGAGAGATACTTACTCAGTTGTTAATCAATGTAATACTTGTCGTGAGAACAGATGCAACAATTCTCCAATGAATTGACCAAAAAATGGATCCCTACGCATTTTGTTATTTATTCTGTCAGTCATGTCGTGCAAAAGGAGCAATAAATAAGTTTACTACATGTGTTACTTATGTGAGTTTTTGCAAGGGTTGTGCCTATCGGCGATCTGCATGAGATACTTGTTAATGACAGTAACGTTGGATGGTAAAGCATTCCAACAGCTATTTTGGTAATTATCTCAGATTACGGTTATTTATCACTCCATCATTGACAAGTGCCTGCTCGTGTAAACTGAGTAATTTCTCTGATTTACGTAACAAATAAGATTAATTTAATAGAGCACTTATCGTGAGATGATGATATGGTTGAGGGAAACATCTATCTTGGCCATTGTGTCAGATACGGCAGAAAAGATGGCAACACAAAAGCGTCAATTACTGAAGACAGTATTCCACAATTTGTGCAATTGGACCCAGAAAGCTTTTAGCGAAATTTTCCAGTCTCTAGCTCTTGCAATATGCTGAGATCTCAGCCGGACAGTCAGCCAGTCAGCCAGACGAGCTGTGATTGATAGAAATTAATTCGTTTCCTCGAGACCTTTCATTAGAATGCCATGGAGGATAAAACCAGTTCCATCCCCCCACTCCCCCAAACCCCTGTTTGGACATGGAGTAGAGCAGTAGAACGTGCGTTCACACCCCCCCTCCCCGAGTCCTACTAAAGGCATACGTATGCAAAATCTTAGACCAGTTGATTGTCGCATGTAAACGCTCGTTTTACATTCAAAAGCAGCATCTCAGGAAATAGTTCATGGAGGGCCCCTCTCCCCCTAACACAGACCAACAGACGGACGGACAAAACGCGCTAAAAATTAGAGTATGCATTATATCGACATTTCAACTGTAAGTAAACTGGACTTTGGGATACGCTCTCTAAGTAATCAAGATTTCTTTACACACTTTCGAAAATATTAATTCCGATCCTTGGCCCGGGGCGAATGGTGGTTAATATTTAGAAACTATAAGGGCCAGTTGATTTAGGGGACGACCAGGATCGTGCCAGAATCCTTGGATACCTATAACAGCGCGATAAAAAATCTGGACTAAAACTATAAATTAAATCATCTTCTAACTGTCGCCATTTTGAGGAGACTGTAACCCAATACGGTTACTCGATTTCCTATTTTTAAAGCTTTTTTAAAGAATTAAAAAAATGTGCTATTGTTTGCGTTTTGTCCGTCCGTCCGTCCGGACCCACCCTAGAACTACTTCTAGGGGAATGGTCGTAGACTCCTGGAATTTTTTGCAGTAGGTAGCCTACACCTTGAAGGTGTGCCTGACGGCCATCAAATTTCGCTGTGTAAAAGAGGGGCTCCGCCCCACGAATTATTTCTGAGATGCTGTTTTAGAAAGTAAAACGTGCATAACTTTTACATACGACAACCAATTGGTCTCAGATTTTGCATACGCATGCCTTTAGTGGTGCCAAGTTAAACTTTAGGAAATGTGGGGGGGGGGTAAACATCATGTTCTACCCTTCATGGTATTCTAATGAAAGGTCTCATCGAAATAAGTTGGTTTTTACAAACTATAACTTTCCCGTGTGACTCTTTTTCGAGATCAGTGAGCGGATGGGGCCTTGGCCTGAGGGAGGAGGGGGGGGGGTGCGGGGGGGAGTTAAAAATTAATTTTATCTCTCATTGTATTCTAATTAAAGGTCTCAACGAAAGGAACAGTTTTCTACAAACTACTGCCCTTATTTTTGTCCTCTTATCAAAGTACGAGGTACTGGGAAAAGGAAGAGGAGTGGAACTAGTTTTATCCTTCATGGTACTCTAATGAAAGGTCTCAACGAAAGGAATTAATTTATACTAACCATAGTCTTCTTCCTCGATCCCTTGTCGTGATCGGTTACAACTCTCTACATCTTAAGAGTGAATTGTCAAAGGAACCTACCTACCTACCTACAAAGGGCGATTGGGACGTTTGGAAGAAATATAACCATTGGGCATTTAAATAAAATTTGATACATAGCCAGTTGGAATAAAACCAAATTTAACGCCAGTTTAAGTTTCAAAATCTTGTTTGGCGCATGCGCAGTGCCAACTTTCTTATTTATGGAAGAAATTTCGTATGGGTGTTTAAAAAAATGCACAAGAGTTGTGCGCAATTTTTACTTGTTTATAATGTAATTCAATGCAACTTAATTAGGGAATATTGCTAAACTCGCATAGTCTTAATAAATTCAAAATTTTAGCCATTTTAGGTTTGTGGTGAAGTTCGTAGATTCCATTTAAAGTTTAGCGTATTATTATTTTTGTTCCGTGTAATTTCCTATAGCGTGTGGATCTTTTAATGGCTTTAGGAAATCGTGGGCTTCAGATTGTCGGAAACAACAATAAATAAACAACCTCGGATTTTTAAAACAGCCTAACTCGGGTGCATTCCAGGAAGTACAACTAGTCCAATGAAAACATGGTACACTTAACTATTAGGCGCCATTTTGAAAAAGGTGTTAATTAATCCGGAGAAAGCTTGGTGTTTGACAACGAGAGAACTGATGAGAGAAAATTTCCGATGAAATGCTACTTCAAAATATTAATATCCGAGAGACTCGATTGGCGGATAGAGGAACGCCCTTACAGACACCTGAATGATCGTTAAGCGACTCGTGCTTCAGTATAGATAGTGACGGGAAGAAGCTGGCAGCCAAGCCCTGGGCGAGCTGGTAAGTTCAGGTGAGAACGCACTACTCGTGGGAATTTTATGGACGATAGTCTTAACAAACCCTACTTCAGTCCATCATCAGAGGGCACCAACAAGCCGGGCCTGGGTAACCGTACAGGCTCTTCGAAAGAAGGGACGGCTCCAACGCAATGTCTTATGCAAGGATCTGGTGGTGGGCCAGCTTCTATTCCCAAGAAGAACAAGACTGGCGCACACAAGTCGGCGGTTCGAGGGGAAACCCCGGGTCAAGCGAGCCCTGCGCCAAAACCAAAGGCTGTGTCCGGTTGTGTCGTTGGCTTAGGGGGGCAACCAACCAGAAATCGGGGACCAAGCTTCACAGATCTCGGAGAGAAGCACTTCAGGGTCTGGTTCAGGGCAGTCTGAGAAGACGCCTAAAGGTTCTGGGGCACCCAAAGTTGCGGGTGAACCACGAACCTGTGGGAATTTGGGCAGGTCGCTGCGGCCCATCAGGCCATTGATCCGGTGTCTCACCCGGATGTGGATATCAGTCGAGGCGCATCACGGCTGCATTGAATGGCAGTTGTGAACAAAGTGGAGGGGTTCTTCGGATGGCAGGGTTCCGCTGGAATACGCAGGGTGCCATTGTTGCCGAATGTCAGGACCAGTAGAGTTTGGGCTGTTTGGAGAGGACCGTCCCTCTTAATAGACCTTGGGAAGGCGCTTCTCTGAAACTTCCTATGCTAACCAAGGTGATGTCTGTGTTATACGGGCTCCCGGATAACACGGCCACCAACTTGAAGCGCGTCCAAAGGAAAAATCTTGGTTTCTAGACGAGCCTGTGGAGGACGTTCTTCCGCAGGGAGGAGCTTTGCATTTGGTGTAGATGAAGTATCCAATCGGACACTCCACTCCAGCGGCAGAACCTTCAAGCACACGCGGAGTCTCACACGTCTTTTTTGTGTGCGAATGTGAGTGCTCAAGCTACGCCAAGTAATGGAGAGGGTTGCACCGCAGACGCGGGACTCGCTGTATCGATGCGACAGAGGGGGCTCAATCCTTCGCTATCGACGTCGAAGGAACGTCGAGATTACTACTGGCACTCTCAGAGGGCTGTAAAGCAGAGAGACGTATGCCTCATGCAATAACCTTTGGTATACAGAGGATGAGTAAAAGGTTTGGGACCAGTGGGGGACTATGTTTGTTATAAGAGAGATAGCCAGAGATAATCCAGTCTTATCTAATGGCTGATTTCTGAACTCGTTGCTCTAAGACTTCAACTGAAAGATGGCATAGGACAGGGCAGGTACGACTCGGAAGAGTCTACACCAATCAAGGAGCTGGCTGAGTTGATAGAGGACTGTCAAAATAGTGGGCTCCCTCTTGTGGTTGGCTGCGATGCAAATGCACACCATCTTGCGTGGGAACGGTTACGAACTTGAGGGGCGACTACCTTCTGGAGTACTTGCAAAGAACTGATTTGCATGTTTTAAATCAGGAGACAGCCCCTTAAATATCTTAACAAACAAAACCGACAGGGTATGCCCAAAACCAATTGCCCGATTCGGCATTAGTTCTACTTTTATTCGAGGTGCCTTCACACAAAATTTCATTTAAATGGTTAACAAATAAAATCTTTGAGATTGCGCAAATACAAAGTCGGAATGCGCATGCGCGATTTTTATTTTTTTTTCTTCCTGAGGTTTAAGGAATATTTACTAACATTCATGTTCTTTGGAGGTTTGGGGCAGACAGACGGACAGACAGACGGACATCCAGACGGGCGGGCAGACTGATGGACAGACGGACGGGCAGACGGACGGACAGGCGGGCAAACGGACGGACGGACGGGCAGACAGACGGACAGACAGACAGACAGCAATACGAAATTATAAACGATCACTAGGATCGTTAATAGTCCAAAAACCATCTTAGCAAACACAGATCAATCACACAGCCCTTCACTACGCGTGCACACGCCTTCAATTCTATGTATCATTTGCTATTATACGATTTATTTAAATTTTACATTCAATGTACAATTAACACAATAGTTATTTATATAACAAGAGCGCGAAGTTCAATTTCGCGCATTGAGACTGAAGGTCAAAATATCAGTCAAATGCGCGAATTAACTTCGCGCTAGCGTTATATACAATATTTTTTCTACAACTGAACCGATTGTTAATTAAAATTGCTGTTTAAGTTCAACTTTGTCACGTGCGCAAAATACTTTTTTTCACTGTTGACGATTTCGCGCACGTTGTCAATAGCAACCTTACTTATTAATTAACCGATTAAAAATCTAGTACTTCGCGTTTCGAAATCCGTCAGAAAATGACAGGTTTTTTTGACAATTGTAGAAAAACGTATTTTGTATGAAAGAAGATGTCTCCAGGCTTGTTATTATTTCTTGCAGAACTGAATTCGATAATTACTACAG